ACCATATCAATACTTTTCCTTGTATGGGCATTTTCAACATTTACGTTATTTTTTCATTGAAAACTAAGTGTGATTTGTAAATGATCATTTGTGAAACTGTACCTTATAAAATCTTAAGTCACTACTTTTTGTGTGATCTCTGTTATGTTTCGTAACATACTTTGTCAATTTTGTCCATCGTATTGGGTGCCATTATGTTTTTTATATAATTTGTTTCCGTCTTTTGTGTAATATTTAGCACATTTTGTCGTCTACATAGTTTTATTCGTCCAAACAGCACCTTATTTACGGCCAGTCTTCTGTTTGTTGTCATTATTTTACATGTAATTGTGATCTACTGTTTTCTTTATTCGATGTTTTTGTTTTGTTAATTCTTTCGTCCAATGTTAGCCAGTTTTGTCATGGTATAAATCATACGAGTTTTGTAACTGTTGATGCCAATATATTGTTGAAGATATCATTTTTTTTTAAACTTTATCGAATATAAAATAAGTATCTGAAAATATGTTAACCTTCTTCAACGACTAAAACTTCCTTTATGACTTTGTAAAATTATAAACTTTGTACCTTTTAAATGTTCCATAATCAAAAGGATTTTTCTTGTTTAATCTTGTAACGTTACAAAGGGAATAATGTTATCTTTATTTGTTATTCGGGGATGGTGTTATTTCACTTTTCTTACATTTTCATAACAATTACAATATTGCATTAAACATTATTTTATTCAATAATCAAGTTAATTTCATGCGCGTGTCAGAATACCGAGGGAAGGGGAAAATGATAAAAAAAAATAAAAAAAAAATATAATCAACTCAAAAACCTTATTGTTCCCATTAAAATATAGTTTGTAAATCGTTAAACTTACTGCTTTTATAACTAATACATAAAACTAATTATATTTTAAATGTATATAGAAAGGTCTTGCTTGTAAAAACATAACGTATGATTCAGCACAGAGAACGCATCCTTAAAATGGGTGTTTCTAGATGAAAAACAGTTTATTCGATGCATAAGACAAAGGCGTAATAACAACAGCGTTTCCATTTATATTTGATACATATTGTCACGGAAGTGACTTTATTATTGTGCATACTGTTGCTGTTATGCTTTCCATATTTTACCTATACATACTAACCTATAGGGATGACCTCCCCTTACTTGCAAAGTATGTGTTTTGGGTGAAAACAGAATCTCAGTTCTATGTCAAATATAATAAATATGTATCTAAAATAAATATTTTAAATGGTTTGTCATTGGCCGAAGTTTGGAGGTATACTGTAAAGAATATACTGATTGAGTTCGATAGAATTTATTATTCTTTACGTGATCTGTTGTGAAATAAAATAAGAACCAAGTCACGGTCAAGCGTTACATTAAATATTTTGACATTATAAATTGTCTTAAATAAAAATTAAACAAAAAAAAATAGAGTATATCACTGAAGGGTAATATTTTTAAGGTTTACTACTAAGTTTTTGCCGAGGGCTCCATATCATTTTCTTATCTCGAGGGCTTATATTTTTCGGCCAACATAACCTAGGAGTAGTCGATTATGTTTTTACCATAAATACATGTATATTTTAACCCTTTCATCACTAGGTAACTTTAGTAGACTCTTACCATGCATTTATTGGGACGAGTCCATTATGATCAACAGTGGTGAGAGGGTTAAAATCAATACAATGCCTTATCGTTCATGAGTTTTGCCGATGGGATTGGCAAATTGTAAATTTTGGAAATGTTTTCAGAATAAAAGGGGCATGTGAAATGTCTTATCCTGGGTAGGTGGGAAAGTTTTTTCATGTTCTCAATAAAAAAAGGGGGATACACATGTATAACTTAGGAGAAAAACGTGGACTTGTACTATCAGTGTCAACATTGTTTATACATATATATGTTGTTTACATTTAAGCTTTTTATCATACTTTGTAAATCTGTCCGCGTCAATACACGATAATATGTACAATGTACTACGTGTTTTGTTAATGCGATGGTATATTGTACCGTGTATTCTGTCTTTGCGTATAGCAGAGTTATCTTCTCTTGGGAGCTGGTATTGATTGTTACGTCACTTGTTTGTGAGAGTAACGTCATCAATTTTTGAGAAAACGACATAATTTTTCTCACACAGATCAATGACGCAACAATCAATACCTGCTCCCAAGACATCACATATGCTTACATATGTAACTAATTTACACGTCAATCACACATCTAAATGTAAATACGTTAATCTGAACTTTTTGGGTGTGTCCGGTTTTACGAGATGTGCATATTCATATGATGTTATGTTTTAACAGTTCATAGGTACATACATTGTGTTACGTCAGTTTACGTTTAGATTTTTTCCGTTATATTATGACGTTTACTCAGTCATGTGATTTCCTGCCTTAAAGGACTAATACATGTTTGTGTGTGTACTGTAAATATTCGACGTCGGCGATTAATTTTCATATTGAATTGTCTAACAGATAATGATTGTTGACAGAGGTGAACCACCTAACGTGTTTGCTTGTTATTATCAGAAATGATTTTGACGGTTATGATTACATTTTTTAAAAAGCATTCCTCATTAATTTTGACTTATCGAGATTAACTGTGGAATCGCTAATTTTCGTGGTGTTTTTAATTTCGTTGATTTTGTAGGTAATCTTTATCCAAGAATTCATAGGTCTACGAAGTAATTACATTCAACGAACCCACGAAATGATGTTTTGTAGGCAAACCACGAAATTTGTGACCCACAAAGATTTTTGATTTCACAGAAGATATAAAGTAGTCATTATCGAAGCAAACAATATGTATACCTCTTTCGCATTGAATGGTACATACATTAAAAGATAAATTTCAATTTCTATAATAGACGCCAGTTATTTAAAGTATCTTTTTGGGGACTTTTTAATTCGTTAAACCCTATTTCGGGAATATAGACTATCTTTGTAATATAAACTGTGAAAAAGCCAAGTAGAATATATTTGATTCATTAAATGATTTTTTTTGTCATTATTTTTGACATTTCTTTCTTCATGATACACAGACGTGTAACTGAATAGGAGACCTACTTACTAACAGTTTTTTTGTTTAAACAAAAACGACTCAAACTTATAACAAGAAACTAAAAATCTGGTATTGAAATTTGAATCTACGATATCGGACGATATTTTTTTGTTAAATCAAAATAAATGTTTGTTTTCTTTTTGTAAAATGTATTTGAGACATTTACATCCGACAGACATATGTCGTATATTTTTTTTGATATTATAGATGTTTGCCTGGCTCAACGTGAATGGTGTATTCGATTCTTTTCAGCTTTCATATAATACTGACAAAGATGATAAACTCTTGCCTAATTATAGATGTATAAAAAACATCATTTAACACAAAATTATATGTAAAACATATCCTACGTTTACTCTCTATTAATTGTAATACGCTAGTCTATTCGTTCTTTGATCATTGTAATAAACAATATGAAATAATGACATATTCAAAATTGTGAATTGTTGTATTTGGTATATTTTATTATATAATGAATTACAATTTATTAAATTTAATTTTAATGATTCAAACTATTAAATTCAGTTTTAATGATTAATTTCTTTTAAACTAAAATTTAATGATTAAAATGATTAAAAATGTAAAATATTCAGAATTGTAAATCGTTGTATTTGATATATGTTACTCTATATTGTTAAACTTCCTACATTGACGCTCCGCGATAATTTCTTCGTGATAAATTTGATCCATTTTTTGTTTATTATTTTTAACCTTCGTTATGTTCATAGTACTGGTTCACCTTCAATCTTATAGATGATATTGTGTTGATAAATTTTCATAACGTATCCTTAATCAAATATACTTGAATATGTTATCCGTTTTACGGTTCAAATACGTTTCATACATGAATGTTATAAATAATTGGGATTTTTTAATGGTGTAAATGGTTTTTTTCTTCTCAATGTGCCATAACAATAAAAATTACGCGGTAATATCCGTACCGTCTTTGTCTTTGTTTTTTACCAATTTACCGATCAAATCTCTTACAGTGTAACAACGTTTCTTTTGTCGATTTTTTCATTGTCTTTATATTACCTACCTGTCTATATATATCATCTATATATAAACGCCATCTACCTGAACTGGTCATACGTACGAAACATACCTTGTACCTTCTTATAAGAAACTTTTGTTCTGTTTTCCTTGTACGCCCTCTTTTATAGACAGGCTCACATACATTGTCATATAATTGTTGCAAACACTGGAAGGTCCTATTTGGCATTTCTTTGGTCCACTGACATTGTTACGGTCGAATCGTTACAATGAGACCACATCTTTTCCCAAACGTAAAGAGACCACCATTTCTCAACCCCTCTCACATTTCTCATTTTCGTTCGCTTTGAATTTCGTGATGCCCGTCGGTGTAAGTCGTTGTCATAATCACGTGACCGGTTAGAGGACTTGCTTCCGTGTCTTGGTTTTGAGATACATCCAGAGGGCAACTTAAAATACGCCAAGCTTGGACCAAGCATCAATGGCACTGTAAGATACATGCAAACAAAATGCATTAATAGATATATACGATGTGTACAATTGGTTTCAATACAATCACATCACATAGCTGCTACAAGTGTTTATTGTAGTAATCATAGCAACATATGAACATAAGACGCAACACTAGTCGATTAAGAATGTATTGACGTTTAGATTAACAATACGTAGCATACACGCTGTAATGATTATGTGCGTTTTATTCACACTTAGAAAGCCAGTCTTCAACTGACCAGTACACAGTAATGTTATTATACTGTTCGTTAGGTTACAACAACGTTAACATGAACATTCTTTTATAAGAGAAACTGAGATGTACTCGTTGCTTTTTTTTTAATGTTTGAAAAACTGCAATTGTAAACACTGTTTTTATTCTGTCAAAAAAATCTTCTCCATTGAATACGTCACTTCCGGTATCTTCACGTCCATTTTGTACTGCTTTGTTGGTACAGAAAATGTCCTTAGCCAGCAGCACCTGTTCCGTAGATACCATAGCGGTCCATCTCAGTGACGTGGGTCAGCGGCAGCTCTTCACAAAAACGGGCTACTATAAGGTAAAGTGTGATACAATTACATACCTGTAATAATGCTACAAATTGTTTCCGGATCCCATTCCTCTGTACTTTGTATGTTATGTGGTGTAATGCAACTTAATGTGGAATGAAATAAAGTTTATATTAATGTTATGTTTTGAAGTGATTGAACAGAAACTATGTTACCGGCGTTGTCAGCATAGCGCCAGGTCTTACGGGACGACAGCTAGAATACTACTCAACTATTTTTTATTTTAACCGTTAAAAATAACCGCCTTACTTCAAATGCAAATACTTATAAAAGCAATTGAAGTGAAAACGCCATCATTAATCATTTATGGGTACGGCTGTAATCATGACGTCACAAAAAATGTTAATTGATTTGTTTTGTAAAATCAATAGATGTAAGTATAAATTATCACATGTATATGTTATATTGAAAGTATGTTGGTAAACCACCATTATCATAGAAATATCTTCGTGCGAAAAAGCAGGTATATTTACCATAACATGTCTTTATTATTTTTCAGTTGTACAGTGTAATAATCAGTTTTGATTATAACGGTATGAAAATGTTATTTAAATCAACTGATTACCACAGATATGGAGATTAAACGAGAAATGTTTTTACTTTCCAGGGCGCGATTATGGCCATCAAAAGCATCCATAAAACAAGCCTTACTGTCAACAAGCCACTGCTTATAGAGGTCAAGCGGGTATGTAAACACATTCCTGTGTGGTGGTGTGTGCTCTTCTTTGTAGTACAATTTGTTTACATTCGGCTATTTTCATGTGAGATGTTTTGATTAGTTTGTTTTTTAAATTTTCGTTTCCCCCAAATGAGCACCACAAACTGAAGGCTACAGCCTCACGTTTGAATATTCAAATATCGGAAACAATAATTAATATTTTCCACTTCATTATTCGGGCGGTATTTATATCGAATATAAATGTCATTTCCCATTCGTTGACGTCATCATTATTATAACGTCACAATTGTAACGTTAGATACCACTGACCCTCTAAGGAAGATGGCTGTAATAATTGTTGAAGAACCATAAACGATACACACATAAAAAGATTTAATTTATTTTTTTATAATGTTAAAATACTGTTAAATGATATTGTAAATATAAGTATTGAACTGTCCTTCTATGGTATTTACAGTCAATATGAATGACACAACGTAGCTGATAATGTTTTTCATTGTTTATTGACGTCTTTAAATGATATATGTTAATGTTTCAGATAAAAGACCTACAGAATGACCATATTGTACGTTTCATAGGCGCCTGTATAGACCCACCAAACATGTGTATCCTCACAGAATATTGTCAGAAGGGTAGCTTACAGGTAAGGAATACTATTTTAATTTTGCTCAACAATTAATCTTTTGTCTCAAAATATACCAGACTGGCCGATACCTAAAGACAGAACAGCTACACATTCATGAAATATGAAGATAGATAGAGGAAAATGACAAACATAAAACAGTAGCAAAAACGCCTGTTATAGTACATGTGATATACTACCTGTAAGTAAATGAATCAATTAACCTCTATACATACGTTTTAAAAAGTCATCTTTAAAAAGAAACATAAAAATACTGGTTAAAGATTGGTCGATTTTCAATCTAAATATTCAACTTGCATAGGAAATAAATAATAACATATATTTCATGAAATACTCAAACATATTCATTGGTATATATAAAAAAAATCTTCATATTGTCGTTATTCTTATTACAATGAAACGGTTTTACAAAACAACCCGTTTGGCGCTATGAATGAAGAATGAATCTGTAAGAAACACATGTGAAACCTTACCTTTTATCCCCATTATGTCGAGATAGACTATATGCTTGTTTGAGATAGCTAGGCTCGGAGGAGTTGGAATATGATATATGTGATGTATTTTCGTGCAGGATGTTTTAGAAAACGAACAAATCAAACTGGACTGGATGTTCAGATACTCACTGATGCAAGACATATTGAGGGTAAGTCTGCCATCGTCATAGATACGCTCCGTTAAACGTAAGTCAGATGGTCCTAACAGACATTGTGTAATGTGTAAACGATTATAATGCTAACAGTTGTCTCGTTCAACCAGATTCTTGTTGTCTACGCAACAGAAAAGTGATCAAGCGTCTGGTTGAACGAGATTTTGCTAACAGTTGGTTGGTACAAACAAAACATGATGCCAATGTTATATCTTTAAATACTAAGGCCGATGATGGTTAAGGATTTTTTGTGTATTTTTCCGACCAGTTGGTTTTTTGTTGAAATCTTTTTAAGAATAAACATAAATTGGACGATTTATTCCCCTTTGCGTATCTTGTGCCCACAAAATGTAAAAGAACGAGAACTTTTGTTGAAATAGTCGCAAGCAAAAACCATAGATTTTAACGGGTTCTTTCCCTTTGTGTACCTTGCGCCAAAAACTGGCAGAAACGAGAAATGTTGTCGAAATCTTTGTAAGAATAAACATCAATTTGAAAGAGTTCTCCCCCTTTTGTGTATCTGATGGAAATCAGTGTTAGTCACTATATATAGTTATATTGTAGTTTTAAAGCAAGAGTTTATATCTTGTTATGTTAACCTTACAGAATATCAAACCACCTTATCAAGTTTCACTGCCATTATGCTGAGTTGAATGTTAAATGTGGTTTAGTAATAAACAGCTGAGTATTTTAACGTGCCCCCTATTTCAAAATAGAAAACAATCCAAATTGAAAAGGGGAAACTGTCCAAAAATGGTACTTATTGCAAATTGCGAATGAAAATAATATGATGCATTTATAGAATCGAAACTATAGGTAATAAACGGGATTTTACTGAATATCAATTAAATTGATTGGGTTATTTTTTTGAGGTTCCATAACATCAACGAAAAACACGAAAGATTATACACAACAAATATTTTATGTTGTACAATATATATTATATCTTTTTCCTATTCTTTTTTTTTTGGCGAAGTCCTCTTAGGGACCCGACTTCATAATAATAATTAATAATACTGATAATTATTCGAGGTTCTTATATACCGCTTTATCACAACCTAATTCGTAGGTCGTCTCAAAGCGGTTCACAAATTAGTATCCGTGGTTATAGGGCCTTTGCAACCAGCCAATATATTTCGCATCTCCCTGGGGAGCATCACAGCTAGCATTCTACAATTCTAGCACGACCCAACGACGTACTTATTTACAGCTGAGTAGACTGGTACAAGCGGAGTAAAGTATCTTCATCAAATATACAACACAGTGCCATGACGAGACTCGAACCCAAAACCCTTCGAGCACGATCCCATCGTCCTACCACTAAACTACCGTGCCTCCTCCTAATAATAATACTAGTATCTGTTACAAGACAGTTAAACCCGAAACAATTAAAATAAGCAAACAGTCTCTAACTACTTAGCAGAAATATTACAACCGGTTATGGATGAAGAGTAGTAGGGTATATATAGGGTACATATTGAGGGTAAGTCTGCCATCTAGATAGATACGCTTCATTGAACGTAAGTCAGATGGCCCTAATAAACATTGGTCCTGTGCAAACGATTGTAATGCTAACAGTAGTCTAGTGCAAGCTACGCCGAACAGAGAAGTGATCAGGATATTGTGGAGGACGTGATAGTAAGATATTGAGGAGGACGTGATTGTTAGATATTGAGGAGGACGTTATACATATAGTTAGATATTGAGGAGGACGTGATAGTTAGATATTGAGGAGGACGTGATAGTTAGATATTGAGTAGGACGTGATAATTAGATATTGAGGAGGACGTGATAGTTAGATATTGAGGAGGACGTGATAGTGAGACATTGAGGAGGACGTAATAGTTAGATATTGAGGAGGACGTGATAGTTAGATATTGAGGAGGACGTTATAGTTAGATATTGAGGAGGACAGGATCTTTTGCAGTTCGTACTTCTAATATTGACATGCTTTAAACTGAAAATCAATTAAAAAATTACCTCAGCGCGGGATTTCTCTAACGAAGCTTGGTGGTGAAAAATTGCTGTCAGTGTTACTCGCAATGGCTTGAAACAACCCGGTCATACTTTAAGAGTACTTGATTAAACGATCGATGTTATACGAGATAAGATCGATACATTGTTATATAAATATTCCGCTAGGAACCTATTCAATATTTTTTCTTGACTGACATGTCTTGAAGGAATTCTCTATCGAAATATGTGAAAAATCACTGTAGTCGGCTGATCCGTACTTAGAATGGTCCTAAAAAATCCGTTTATCTGATCACGTGACCATAATTACCAATTATACTTTTCGTTAAATACACTCTTCCTCTCCTTTAGATATAGTAAAGGAGCACGCAATGGGTTTCAAACAGCAGACACGAAATATAAAGACGCTTTGCTGGACCACTGTTTACAGACTTGTTAGTTTGACATATCATAATACATGTTTCTAAAACTGTCTAAAAGATGTCTTAATAGTATAAACAAAATCTGTCTATGTCTTCATGTGGCGTGTTTCAAATCAATTTTTAAATAGTATTAATACAGAATTTGATTTTTAAACCTTAACTGTATTTGCAGAAGCGTTTTTTTGGTTTGTTTTTTGTATTTGTTTTTTCGTCGTAAATCTTACCTAGCTTTGAATATATTGTCGAGGACCTTGGTTTCCAGTGACTTTGAACTAGATAACTCGCCTCACATCAGTTATGCGTGTACAAGTATTAACTAGGGATAGACATACGGACTGATCGGATCAAAGAGAATGGTTTATCAAAGCATGCAGGGCAATACATAATCCCCTGTATTCCTCGTATCACGATAGGCATATTTTCTACAGAAAACAGCAGGAGTTTCAAAGACAAATGCAATAAAGGAACGTCTCGAATGCTGCACAGTGTCACTACAATGCGCCAATGTGGGTGTGTAAGTTGACGTGCAAAGAGATGAAAAGATGCTGACTTTCCCTTTCATTTGTAGTTCTTTGAACTATTCATAAAAGCTTTCCGGTTCCGGTTCAGTGTTCTTGTGAGGGAGAAGACACCAGCACTGTTGTCGATTATTAATGTATTGAGTACATCATACGAAAGATTGCATTTGGCCCTTTGTTGAATTTAAATTTACCATTACCTTTCTAAATTTTTAAATCTATATAATTAAGGGATTTCACGCTCCTCCTGTTTAGCTTCAACATTATATTTTGGATGAATTTTGATTACCATCATTTCGGCCCCCAGCATCAAAGGTGAAAATGAAAATGACAAAACAATGTTATGATGAAGTGTTATTAATTTTCGGCATTCCTGTATCTATCGCCATTTTCAGGTGCAATCAAATACGAGTTTGGTTGCTATGATGTCACTGAACTGTGACGTCATAAAACATGTAAAGCTTGATATTATCTCGCTGTCAAAAAATACGTAGGTCAATGATTTCACTAATTAACAGCAAACATATATAACGATCGCTTGCAACGTGTGTTGTGCGTCTGAAACTTGTGAACTTAAATGAGTAAAATTATACGAAATCGCATATATTTTGGCTGGTTAAACGCCGAACACCATGTAAGTGATAACTATTGAGTATATACACTATACAATAATATGCATTTTTTTTTTATTTACTAGGGAATGACGTACCTATTTAACAGTGATATCCGTAGCCATGGAAACATGAAGAGTACAAACTGTGTGGTTGATGGCCGTTTCGTGTTGAAGATCACAGACTTTGGACTTCACGCTCTCAGAGGTCCCCCTGATGATGTGGAGGAAGGCATGTACGCCTTCTACAGAAGTAAGTAAAATATATTCTTGCACACTAGACCAAGATATCCGCATTTCTAGTGGTGCTGGAAAAAATATATCCGACCCACGGGTCTGGATCGCCTACACATACAGACTGGCGGGGGAATTATAGTGACCTTTAATTTCGGGGTCACGCTATTGTTCGTGACGTCATTTTATGACGTTTTAGTGTCAGTCAGGGTCATTGACGTAATTAACAATTGCCAGCCGGGCTTCATATGCAAATGAGAAATGTGTGGACAATTTACAATTTAACCAGAAGAGCAGCTGTTTTTACAGGTTTAAGGTAATAAGCAAGAAATAGAATCCATCCCGGATGTGAGGTATGGATACATATGTAAGGTAATTCAAACCATCGGGATAAAATATTGAGCAAAATACCCTCGGCAAAGCCTCGGGTCTCCTGCTCAATATTTTAGCCCTTGGGTTTGAATGACCTTATCCATACCTCACATCTGGGATGGCTACTATTAATCTTTTAAGCATCCCAGAGCCGCTGCACTCTGGATTATACAGAGTAACCCCCTCTTAATTTCGTTTTGAGATATCTTTGGCGCAGTTTGGCCAGGATACATCCGTTGGCCAGGATACATCCGTTGGCCAGGATACATCCGTTGGCCAAGTACATGTATCTCAGTCAGTTAGAACGACAGTATTACAATATCAGGTCCAGGGTTCGAATGGTGGTCAGGCCGCCATGGTATTTTACACCCAGAACATTGCTGTTGATTATCTATCTCTATTATTTTTCGGAGAGACCCGCAAGGTATGGTTTTCTTTTCAGAAATGATTATCAAATCTATAGTCATGCCGGGAAACACAGTTTCCAATGAATAGTAACTGATTTTTGCAGTGGTATGAGGTTCCTTAAGCTATGGGGAAAAAAGCTGAGAATAAAAAGCAAAAACAAATATTATATTGTAGGTCAAACGATGTACCCTTACATGTTTAACACAAAAAATACGGTTCGTATTTTTGGTGCAATGTACAATAACACGCCCTATCGATCGATCGAATAGGCATCTCCTTTCTAAAATGAACACTGCCTTTCTGAAATGTTTGCGTATAACTATTTGCACAATGATTGTTCTTTATAAAACAAACATAGATGTACAGCATCATTTATATGTTTAGACAAAATATACATACGTGTCAGAAACTTTATACGTTTGCGGCCTTTTTGAAGCATGCGCACATTTAAAGACGTTTTTCATCGATTTAGGAACGTGCATACCTTAACCCTTTCACCACTGTAGACCATAATGGACTCTTCCAAATTAGTGTATGGTAGAGTTCACTCAAGTTACATAGGGGTGAACGGGTTAAAGCTCTGTTCTTAATTGTACATAGATTTCGGAAAATCGCCCCTCCATTACGATACTTACCAGCGCCCTTTCAGATACATCTCTTTTCATAAAGATTCAGGATAAATACAGCGATGCTGAAATCTGTAATACAAAGTTCAGACTGAGATAGAAATCAATCACAGCATTTTGTGTTTTTTAAGTTTTAATGAAACAAGCCATTGATTGTTAAATGAAAGAACGAATGAAGAGAATGCTCAAACGAGTACTATTGGCCGTTTTTTAAATTTATTTTCACCTGATCACTTTCTGCTGAAGTACTTGTGCTGCCTCATTAGTTTGCATCAGCTTGATACTATGTCTAGCCAACTGTTACGGTGGTCTGTTACATAACAAAGCCTTTTGATAGTGTTACATGCAAGCATCAATTTCAATTTGCTTTAAACGTTGATTGAAAACTTTCAGTCACGTTACCACATTACCGTGAAGTAAATTACGTATTGTATCGATCACTGATATTTATCATGTCTGACTACGGTCTGTTGCCAGGACACTTCATGATGGCCGCAGCAATATTCTGTCTTTGCGTATTGCATAGTTATCTTCTCTTTTGAGCAGGTATTGATTGTTACGTCGTTTGTTTGTGTGAGAAAATTACGTTGTTTTCTCAAAAATTAGTTTAAATCAATTGTATTGCAACAAAAGACAAATGGATTGGACAAAAGGTATTGCAACTTACTTACGTCCTTTCCGTAACAGAAAATATATATACAAAATGAATATATGTCACGAAATAACATAATACAAATTTATATATGTATATATATATATATAAGATGTTAAAGATGGGTTACAGCAAAAGAGGTAATGATAGGATTAGGGACACCACCGTATAGTTTTTAAATATCTATTTGGAGAGTTTACTTGAGATCATGTGTGTGATTTTCCCATCCGAGTCGGCGTAAGTAGTATACCTAATCTATACACACATATCCTTCTGCTTTTCTTGAAAAAAATTATGACGTTACTCTCACAAACAAATGACGTAACAATCAATACCTGCTCACAAGAGCAGATAACTCTGCAATACGAAAAGACGGAATATGCGTCTCTGCGTGCTGTAACAATACCATAGTGTAATATTTACATTTCCACTGTATTTTCCTTACCACTACAAACAGAAATCATGTTCACAGAGCGAGGAAAAATCAGCGTCACTTTGACTCTTATCTCCCGCCTTACGTTACATCATCGTAAGACGCAAACATTAAGATGACGCTAAACTGTCTCCTATGCATTATTGATACAGACAATTAAATACTTCAAATTTTAGGAAATGCTCACCTTAAGACTCTGCAATACGCAAAGACGGAACATCAATTCTAATGTGACGTTGTATAAAACATCCAAAAACATTCAGTGAAGACATTAAGGTTTCGTAAGGGCATTCATCGCCATGATGGTAGGAAGATGCAAAACCAATTTTGTTTCATTATTTTCTCGGTTAAAGGGGTGGAATACTTTTTAGTGATGCTTTGTTTTGGTGTAGATGTAATATCAAAAACTCTCAAATCCAACATGTTAAGTATCATTACTTTATTAAATCTCTTTATCGCACTCTAATTATGGCTTCTGGCCTCTGTTTTAAGTCAACATTTATCAGGACTACGAATGCTAGCTTACAACTGACAATGCATAGCAACGTTGTAGAGAAGGTACACTGGCAACGTATTTTGACGGGTTGAAATTACCCGGTGTGCAGTACCTCACTTCCTTTTCTAATTAGGGAATGATCAATGTTTTATATACATACCTATAATCTATTTCAGCACAACTTTGGACGGCACCCGAGCTACTACGCATGCACTACCGACCTCCAGAGGGGACCCAGAAAGGAGACGTATACAGCTTCGCCATTATTTGTCAGGAGATTGTATACCGCTCAGGCGTCTTCTATTTAGCCAACCTTGACCTCAGCCCAGAAGGTAGGCAACCCATTTCTACTTTCTATAAACGTAACCATCGTCGTAGATGTATTTCTACTTTCGATTTCCATATACGAGTTGCTTTATGTATTACTGTTTTATAAATTGTGTTACTTCATATTTTTTGTAAATTACATTAATACTTGTTTTGTCTTGTTTGAATATCAATTCATCATTAGCATTATTAAATCAATAAGTATCGTCACTTCCTTGCTTTCTCTAAGTGCGTGGATGTGTCTGTTAATGTTATCTGTCAACAAGGTTATTTTGTCATTTGTCTGCGCATAAGGATCCCTGTCCCACTACACTGCCGTTTTTCCTATATACAGTAACTTCCCCTTAACTTCCGTTTGGAAGTGCACGAGCCAGCATGACGTATGCAGCACATTTGGGCTCGTACACGTCCGATGTCCGGGAAGCTTAGTCAGTTCCATTGATGGTATAACAATACAAAGTCCTGGGTTCGAACCCCGGTCTTGTCCAACAGAATATTTAACACTCTGATCATGTTCATTGATAACATTTTGTTCATTTCATTTCAATATTGTTTTCATTTAAGTCCCGCGAGGTATACGTTTCTTTCCAAAAATGATTTATCAGAGCTACAGTCATGCCGGAAAAAAATTAGTTTCGAATGCAAAGTTTTATTCCTCGCACAGGGATCCTTAAAATATAGCACTGGTGTAGCGTACCTTAATTTTATTAATGTTTTATGTTAACGTTGATGTTAAATCACGTGATTTGTCATGTTTATGTTTTTGCGCACTGATTTCATTGTCTTTCATCATTGAGCTTCGTTTTGTTTGCTTTTTAACATCATATACTGCATTTCATCGAATTTAGAGTCAGATATAGTCGTATATGTGCAATTTCCACAACGGGATTCAACAATAACCTTTCACAACCTCTTACATGATGACGTAATATCAAAGGATGGCGCGTAAAACCAAAGGACTTATTTAAATTTAGGACTTCAAATTATACAATTGAGATAATCGATAAATCAAATTAAGCCATTTCTCTATTGTTTGTCACGTACATTGTCTCTTACAATGTCCCCGTATTTCCAGGCTGTGGCCGAAATGTGTATATTATGTTAACAACGAACTGGGCCCGTAATCATGAAATTGTTCTCATGCTCAAGGAGGGATTTTCGTTCTCATGCCGAATTCTTGCGCTCAAAGTTTACATTTGACTTTTTGATCGTCTGATACGATAAAAGTGATTTCAATGAAAGTTGGTTTGAACACAGAATCCATACTTGAAAATGATAACGGTTTCATAAATACTTGCATAGATATTATCATTCGATCATAGATATACATGACACTAGTAGGTTTACAAAATATAACCGCATCGAGAGCCCTTGTGGTCTGGTAGATGTCCCTAGCTAAACAGACTCCAATTACGTTGTACATGTAGACAAACCGTCAATAAGCTAGGTCAACTGTCAACCTATATCTTTACTATCCCGGATGTAAATTGGTAAGTATGACTACTTGTGGAAAAGCAGCAGCATTATGTATCAGTTACATATATTTCTCAAACAATATTACGTACCGGTGTTTGCGGTAAATTAGTTTTCTGTAAGGTACATGTACTATCACGTGGTACAAAATAAGCAGATTACTAAAACTCTGGCGAAATTAATCTGCTCGCGAATAACAGACGATTTACAGTATATGATGTTTATGTTGTTTGTGTTTTTGGTTTTTTTCAGGCGTGTAATATATATCTGTTGTCTTTATTGTTTGTTTTGTTGTTTCGTGTTACTTATTTAGAACGTATATTGGATAAAAAGGAGCAACGTCTTAGCGTTGCAAGAAGTAAGATTTAATGTTGTGCTATATACAACTCTTAATGTTCAATTTGAAAGATGCAATTCTGAAATGCATTCTGTAATGATTTACTCATTAATACGTCTAACAAACACTTTTATTATAATGCTTTCTTATTTTCCTTAATCTCTAATTGTCACTGCTATATGCTATGAACAATATGTTTAAGTAAATTACAAGCGAACATCAAAAATAACTTAATATTTTATTAAAATATAAAGATGGATTGGGAGTTTTTTTTATATCTTTGCGTCAGATCATGAAACAAACAATGCTATTGAATCATTTCAGAATTGTGTCTTACCATCCGAGCCTAAAATACATTCTGTAAATTCCTCTTCATTTAGATACATTTTGTCCTCATTAATGCTGCATAATTTGCACGTGAAATGCATGTTGTCTTACCATTCATCTGTCAAATGCTATAAGACACCTTTCTCTGTTTAGTCTTCCCTATTTGAATGACAGAAAGGACCCTAACAACTATCAGCATCTCCCGTTGTGACTGCCCTTGTATTCCGTCTTTGCGTATTGCAGAGTTATCTTCTCTTGAGAGCAGGTATTGATTGTTACGTCATTGGTTTGTGTGAGAAAATTACGTCGTTTTCTCAAAATTGATAACGTTACTCTCACATACAAGTGACGTAACAATCAATACCTGCTCCCAAGAGAAGATAACTCTGCAATATGCAAAGACGGAATAACTACTACAGTGTACTGTTTTTCCCTATGTCAATTTCTGTACTATTTTATAATATATATATACCATTTATACAGTATGCCATCTATATAATATGTCATAAGGGCAAAAGATCAAGAGAATATTTACATATAAAATCAAATTTGATCCCACAGAACGTGAAACATTTGCTTTAGTTATGAATAATGGTGAAAAATATCACCGATTTAATTCTAAAGAAAACGAGAAATGTGGACCGTAAATTATTTTGTCAGAAAGCGAGGTGGCAAATGAAACGAGTGTCACCATACAATATGTATCGAGGTTGTACTTCGTATGAAGTAGACTGAACAACTGTATTGTGCAAAGTTTGATAACATCTCACTGAAATCTTTAAGTTGGTCGCCAAAAATAGTAATACTCACTTTGTTATTTAAACTATGACAAAATTAAAACGCTCACCGGAGTACACGTGTTACATGGAATACCGTTAAGACAGTTCAGAGTAATAACGAAACGGTTATGAAACAAACATAAAGGGAGGTAACTCATTAGTCAAATCACATTTAATAGGTGAAAGGTAGCATACAACCTTAACACCGCAACATTTATTACATTTTCCTTATTTAAACTTCGTCCCCATCCTATCTTTACAATTTGTCAATGGATATATTTTCTTTGCGGTGTCTTAGATCCGAAGACTTAAGTATGTTGGTTTAAGTTCTGTTATTTATGAAAATGTCATTGTTGAACTTTATTAAAAACTTAATGCATTATAAATTATTATTTTTTTGTATTAAACCGAATTTATTATTTTTAAACAATATTAATAAGTTATCATATTGCGGTTTAGTTTGTTTTGAACAAGCATTTGCATACCGATATATATTTGAATGCACTCTAAAGTGAATGGAGCTTGATTCTTGAAACCCGATTCAAGCTTTTTCCTGATCACGAGGCTATTAGATGTAACACAAATGTATTCGACATTCAAAGCAAGGTTAAAGGTCAAGCGATGGCGCCCTGGTTAAAGTCTTTAACGTTAGACGAAATAAGGTTATTTATATACACTGACCACAATAACTGACCATTATGGGTGATCATGTCACTGTCTGGTCATCAATTCATCTGACAAAAGTTAATCTGTGTATCATCCATATTCATCAAACAAGTAGTCGTAATGATGGCCTTTGACGTTATAAGATCTTTAGTTATGTCCTGTCGTGGTCAACTTGTCCCAGAGACCCGCTGTATGTAGGTACCGCTAACTACAGTCAAGCCTGCCTCAGAAACGATCTCTATCTACGACTACCCCTAATTACAAGTACAACTTACTTCGAAACCATATCTACAACTCCAATTTAACCTGCTATGAGTTGATCTGTCTATAGCAACCCCTCAAAGACGGCGTGTATATAGTTGTCCCTAACTTCAGTTATACCTGACTGCAAGACGATCTGTCTATAGCTACCCCTATTTTAAATCAATCCTGCCGTCGAGACGATCTGTCTATATCTATCCCTATTTTTAAGCAAACCTGCCTTCGAGACGATCTGTCTATAGCTACACCTATTTTAAATCAAACCTGCCGTCGGGACGATCTGTCTATATATAGCTACCCCTATTTTAAATCAAACCTGTCGTCGAGACGATCTGTCTATAGCTACCCATATTTTAAATCAAACCTGCCGTCGAGACGATCTGCCTATAGCTACCCCTATTTTAAATCAAACCTGCCGTCGAGACGATCTGTCTATAGCTACCCCTATTTTAAATCAAATCTGCCGTCGAGACGATCTGTCTATAGCTACCCCTATTTTAAATCAAGTCTGTCGTCGAGACGATCTGCCTATAGCTACCCCTATTTCAAATTAAATCTGCCGTCGAGACGATCTGTCTATAGCTACGCCTATTTTAAATCAAACCTGTCGTCGAGACGATCTGTCTATAGCTACATTACATCTTACCATTATTAAATCTGACTCAAAGACGATACGTCTATAGCTATCCCTAACTACAATTAAGCCTGTCTCAAAAAACGATATGTCTATAGCTACATTAAACCTGTCTCGTAGACAGTCTGAGTAAGCTACTACAGTCAAATCGCCTCGGAGACGGTTTGTCTATAACCACCTGTAACCTCCAATCGTAGGTTAACCTATTTATAACTAAAATCAAACCTTCTGCCCTTACAGATCGTCGGTTCAAAGGTAACCTTGTATTTTGATACAATCAAACATTAAAATCCATCTATCTACAAGTCACCTCTATTGATAACTTCAATAAAACCGACCTAAAATGCCACCTATCTGTAGCCTCGCTTATCTGTGGCTGAAGTCAAACCTGTGTTGGGGACCATCTTTTTTTTGTCCCCTGTTCCTGTCTGTAACGTAAAAAACATGCCTTAAATATCATCTGTGTGCGGGTACCGCTGCTTAAAACAGTACTTAAACCTGGCTTAGATTCCAGCTATCTATAAATCTATGTCTAATACAACTAATGTAACGTCCTTAATGCAGGAACCGGGGCAGTGACAGCGAAACAAATAACGCACATTAATGAGTTTACTCAAAAACATCGACATCCATATCACACAAAGGAATAGTTTATTTTCATTTCAGAATATTTAATTGCACAGATATAAAGTACGATTGGAATTGGGCAACAGGCATAGCCTATACAAGCCCTCTCCTTTCAATATTTAACAGTACATACACATCATGTTTATAGTACATATATAACAACATGGTTTTTTGTAGTATTTAACCAAGTCATGCAACAATTTAACACCGAGTTGAGAATCAGAGGAATTTAATAAAAAAAAATGTCTCGTGTCTTCAATGTATTTCCAAGCTAGATCTTGACGACAACAACAAACCTTGCCCAATGTCACCATCAACCTGCATAGGTTTCAGTAAAGAATTCATACTTAAACGTTATTCTTGTTTCATGAATACGGGTCCAGGTCTATCAATAACAACATGGATACGACCGTCGCGTTCGCTAATTTCTGAAATACGCATGCACAGACAGCAAGAGTGAATAATAACACACAGGGGAGACACATTGGAGTGGTGCATATAAACTACAATATAAAACCGTCATACAATATTAGAACAGATTTCGGTAAAAAAAATATACTTGTTAGCTTTACAAATCTTTCAAAGACGAAAGGATAAAACTATTTTTTCTCATCATATTCTTTATATGCGTTTTCTGTTTTCAATTTAACTGTTTGAATTATAACCATGTAGATTTATTGATGGATTGTGGAAAGTTTCAAGATATCCTACTTGAAAAAAATATACGTTGAACTTGCGTTACAACAACTATCCTTTACAAAGTTGTGTGAGATATAGCCGCCCTGACTCCATCACCAGACCGTTACAGACGAGGTCAGTTGCTGTATGGCGTGGTCTGAATCTGATCAAGCGCTAGGCAAGAGTGCTTAATTTGTGAAAGCCTGGCGAGCTTCACGCGCTACATTTATTATGTGACAAATTGCAAATAAATCTGTTGATGTAGGAATTTAAACGAGCACACGAGGACAAAAAACAACAGCATGTACGTGTATTGTTTGCAAAACCTTCCCATACAGATAATAGCGTTTCCACGCTTCAAAATAGCGAATTCTGCTTTATTTTATGATAAAAAAAATCATCGAAGAGACTATGTTCGTTGTTAAGCGTCGCTGTGAGCATGTCTATCACGTGACAACTCGTTGTAAAGAGCATGGTATGCGTCGTCGCAAAGCGTCGCAGTGACTATGTCTGCGCCATGGCAAAGCGTCGCAGTGAGTTTGTCTTCCTCGTGACAAAGCGTTGAGATTGATAGAATCTTCCACTACCTTGAGAGTGTAACAGAGAAATCTCCAATCCGAGGGGTGATGTTTTTGGTTGGTTAACCCGAGGGTTAGACAACCAAAAAAATCATCCCTTTGATGACGTCACAATTACCGATGACGTATTTTAATGACGTCACAATTGAACACGTGCTAATCGGCACGAGGCTATCTCCCCCTACGGGATGACATGCTGATCTTTCCCGGCTATAACCGTAGGCACACCTGTGAAATATGGGAGAAAACCATGTAAACCTCCTTGCGAAACGTCGTGGTTAATGTCTGCATCGTGGCAAAGCATCAAAGAAATATTGTCTATCTCTTCGCGTAGCGTTCAAATGACCTTACCTGCCTCATGACAAAGCGTCAAACTGGCCGTACCAGCTTTTTTGGCAAAGCGTCAATGAGTATCTTTACAAAACGTCATATTGACGATGACAGTCTTGTAGCAATACGTTGCAGTAAGTA